GTTTCCATCAAATTGTTTCCTCCCTCCACATTTTTTATCAATACTCTGATACACTTAAAAGCAAACGCAAGCAGTACTCACTTATTATAAACTTCTAACCGTGACCACACATTATGCCACAATAAAAATGAGATTGTGTATTATTAACCCTAGTTTACAGGCATTTAAAAAATGTCAACATGTTTCTCTTCAGTTTTGCTATTGGAGAAACAGAACATGATTAGACATCTACTGAACAGAATAAGCTGATGAATGCCACAGGGAATACACAAGCTCATATGCAAGGAAGGGTCAATTAATAATGAAAGGTTTTTGCTGGAGGTATTGACAAACACAGCTGGGAAATTTGTAGTAATTAAGATCACTCAGAGATAATTCATTAGCATGCGATGCCAATGGTGCTTAAATGATGTGATTTCACATATGTATGTAATGGGAGTCTTTTTTCTTTAACTTGGGCCTCATTTTCATAACCTATTTAAACAGATACAAATGCGCATGTGCAGCATCCCAAACTGAGATTTAGTGAAGTATCAATTCAGTAACAGTCTATTCCATATGCGAAACATTGCAAAAGTCTAATTCACCTTCTTAACTGCTATAAAAAGAAGTCTCCCATTTCACTCTTGCCTTTGAATAAGTATTTTACATACTATCAAACACATTAAATCGAACCCACCAATAGCAGATGGCGTTGTTTTGTAAGCTCAAACTAATGAAAGGACACAATCCCAGGTGAGGAGGTTGTAGCTGGATTAATTGCTAAAGATTTCAATAGACACTCTACATGACCTTTAAAAAAACCACACCAATGAAGTAAAAATGTTTGAGATTTAGCTTGTTTCATTAATTTGAGTATTCTGAGGAAGTATTTTCTAAAAGGTTTCTAAGAAAACATAATAAACTGTGAACTTCATTTTTATGTAGTCATTTTTCTAAATATGCTTCTTGTAGAGGTTCCCAAATTTACTCTGCTTCTGCATTCCCACAAACAAAAGCCACAACAGCAGCAACTACCCCCAGAATACGTACCTGCACAGGACACACTTGGTCACTTCAGGCAACTTGCATACATCACACACATGATGCAGTTTGGAAACCTGTGCACTAGCAAATATTTTCCATTAGAATTTCGATCTATCTAGCCAGCCTCTTTAAGTGATTGTGTTAATGAAAAACAAGTATTTAGCAGTTACTTGGAAAACCAGACAACTGTGCAATATGTTAGGCATTTTACTGGGTGCCAAGGATACTGATGTTCCACCACACTGATTGCAAGAACATCTACATCCTTGTGCCATGTTTCTGTATTTTTTAAATGATTTCATTAAAAACAGATGAGCAAACTTCTGTGATCCTAACAGTGGATAAGCAGCTTGTTAAGAGCTATCTCGGTGTGTTTCAGTGGAGCATGTCTGTCCATCCATTCATCCCAAAGGTTCTTTAACGTGGAAACACTCAGCACTTTTTCTCCTTCACACACAATTGTGAGACAATGCTTGTATATCTTAATTTCATTAGGGTTACTATAGTGAGATTCAAAAATTATTTATTTAGAAGAGGAAAGCAACAGAAAGAACTAGAAAATCCAGACAATCTTCCCCAAGATGTTTGCCAGACAGTTATTTGCTTGTGGAACTCGAAGGCTGTATTGAGACCTGTGGTGCCTCTATCTGTTTAGAGGGCAATCCATATACTCTTTTCTTTCCGTTTTTCTTCATTAGAACTTTTGCTTGGGAGTGGATCTTGAATATTTTTTGCTACCTACATTAAACGATCATTCACAGGCAGGGAAGTACTACCAATTACCTAGTGAAATCAGCTGGTAAACACTCATGGGGCAAACTACAGCTGGGAAAATTCAAGTCGTATAATTTAGCAAAAGATTTCAGGAACAAAACCAAAACAAACACCACCACCCCCACCCCCACACAAATATGTTCCCCTGCCCTCCAAAGAAAAAGAAAAGGGGGGAAAAAAAACCCCAAACCTAATCCAGCCTAAGAACCAACCAACCTTAAGGAGATTCAGTATTTCACGAAATTTAAAGCAGGTCACTTTGGGGGATTTCTGATGTCATCTGAAATGGAAAATACACAGCTGCACCATGAAAACTGTAGTACAGCAGAAATTCTATTTAAATATTCCTTTAAGAAAAAAAATAAAAAACGTCTAGCAACATAACCAAATGCTGTGACACTGTGAAGCATTGTGGACCTACAGTGAGTTATAGGCTGTCTCTTGCTTATTTTTCACAAGCCCTTGGGGTCTTTACACAACCTCCTGCCATTGCAGCACTGCCACGTCTCAAAATATCCTATACAGGTGGCCACAGGGTACAACATGCAGATGCTTTCTTGCTACTGCTGTTGATAGAAAAGGCAGCTGAGACCCTTCTCTTATCCCTTCCTTACCCTTTTTTCCTTAGTTCACACACCTGAAGTTCAGTTTTGTCGCTCTGAAAAGAGTTGTCATCGCAGCAAGAAGGATTAAGCTCAGTTTCTACCCCCTGCACTGCCGGAGCACAGAAATCATGGAAGTGGTACTGTGCTAGACAGTTGGTGAAGGGAGAGCACAAGTCAAGAGGCACGGCATGGTGATACCGCACAGAACAAGACTGGCCACAAGAAGAGGGTCAAGACGTATCACAGATACTGATGTATTGCTGTATGAACCCTTAATAATGCTGCTTTCATGTAAAATTAGATGTAGGGTGCCACTAGAGTATTTTTAACTTGCTTCTTAATAAGCAGTTGCTTCAACTATGTTCATGAATGGAACATTTGTGCCATAAAACATAGGTAGTTCGCATTTGTCCCCATATATTTGTCAAGTACAAGCTAATTCCAATGAGCTACTGAAACCTGAGAGAACAGCAACTATTTGCTAATGGCACCATGAATTACTATGAGGAGTACATAACTGCATGTAAGTTAGTGTATCAGTCTCCAAAATCCCCGCATAAAACAAGCTCTGTGTGTACATAGTGGCAAATATTCACCTTGCAACTTCTGTTGCGCTTGTTTAACAATCCTCAATAACTTTAAGACTTCATATACCTTTACAAGAAAAGAAAAAGAGTCACTTTGCATACACACACAAAAACTACTCATACTACTGCTTATAGCACAAAGGGACACCATCTACCAAGGTTTTGGTTGGTACCAATCAAATACTCAGAGAATAAAAAGCATAGATAGATAGATGTAAAAACGTATCTTCACATTGTCAATAGGAACTTGCAGATTCAGAAGAAGTTATGCACGTGTCTTCTTCACTCTTTAATATAAGAGTGACATCTTCACAATTAAAGATCTCAACCAGTCATTTCATTTCCTTCTCCCAGCACTTCTAACCTGAGGAAAGTTTCAGGGCATTAGAATTTCAAAAGCAAAAGAACTCAGTGAGCAAGCAGGAAGAATACCAGACAGACCACTACTGAACTTCAGAGGCATACAATTTTCCAATCCAGAAACACCTAGAGCACATGTAGCAAGAAGGACACGACTGTAAAAAAAAAAAAAAGAAAAGGAGCCTTTACAAATACAATTAAAAATTTATTTTTCTCTTTCTGCATTGAAGTGAGTACATTTTCACACACAATGTGACAGAAAAAAAAAAAAATCACCTGGATACTAACTAAGGTTATAAGTGTATTTTTCCTTTGTAACAGTCCAGAATATCAGCCGGGATACAGAAGAAAAAAACCAAACATGTAACTTTGGATAGTGTATCATCCAGCATCTCTGGTTTTGCTGGTGGGTTTCTTCCCTTAATATAGGATTAGACCACCCCATCCCCCCGCCCACCCCCAAAAACCCACTCACAGCACATTTTTGGCAAAAGTCACTGAACATACACCCCACGCCCCTGCCCCAAACATTCAGTACATTTTATAAAACAGGCTCAGTGGCACTTTCTCTTTAATATGACTTCAGTAACATTTTGAAATACAGTGCATCCACACTGCAATTCACTTTGCTGTAAGGCTAGCTTAGACATAAGGCAAACATGACCTTAGCACTCAAATATTCCACAATACGACACCATTAGTACATATATCTCTGTTAAATGCAGAGATGCCTTGTTTCCCTTCATTGCTTTTCCTCCTGATCAAAAAAGCAATTCAGGGAGATGGTGTGCTACACTCATCACAGATTGCAAGGTACTAAAAAGTTAAAAAGAAACAGCAATGAATAAAAATAAACAGTATTCACATATTTAAAACTTATTTCCATCACTTAAATAATTTTATCTGCAATTACAAAATGCATACACTTAAATATCTTTGTAAGAAATAATCATCTAAGACATCACAGATTACGATTTGCTTTTGATAAGCTAACTGCCCTAACTCCGGCATAAAGATATACCTGGACAGTGTTACTACCTAGGATGTTTTCCTATTATAACTAATTTTCTTAAATATACAGTAAATTCTCTCTAGCTATTCTGACAGATAGTGCAAATAAAGACATTCTTTGGGTCACAATTTCAAAATATTACTGCCAATGCTAGCCTCAATTTAATGTTGTTTTAGTAAATGAGTAACAAAATATTTTAAGTATACACATTTGCTAACATCCATTTAACAATGCATTTTCCTCAGTTACCTTAACACAGATCACAAAAAATGAATAAGCTACAATACTGCTCACCTATCCAAAAGATATGTTATATTCATACTTAAATAAATATATTTAGAAACCTACATGTAAGTTGCCCATTGCTTTCCATTTATTATTATCCAATGGCATACTACATCAAATCATGATATCAAAATATCTTTTAAAGACAACAAAGATCACTTCAGAAGTACTGCTCAAAGGCAATGAAACAATGCTTTGAGAACCTATGCACAAGTTAGGCTTACATAGATGCAGCACAGAATAGCTTACGCTTCTTTTAGACTGAGCTACTGCTTTGCCCTAGCCAGAGATAAAAAGCTTATCTTAAATATTACCTTTGATAGCTGTAGCAACACAAAGTGGCCCTGTTTGCTATCTAATGTTGCTTGCTGGTTTTACACGTTTATTTGAAGTTACTGACACCTGATTGCTAGTTCCATTAGTGGTATTTGTTGCTGAGCCATTCACAACGATGTAATCAACTTTGTTTTCCAGTTTCACAAGGCGTTGTAAGATGTCATCCAGAAGAACAGCAATTGTTCTCTTAAGATCAGCTGAACACAATTGAAAAAACAAATTAGATCCTATTATTTACTAGGTGTGGAAAAGAACTGCTATTTCAGCATTTTCACATCTTAAGACTTGCTATCCTTCCTACTATACAAAGAGTGCAGATTACTGTACAAGTATAGAATTAAGCAGCTGCTTGATTGTTCTTTAAGACCATTTCCTTGTTATTTTAGGCAAGGAAGATACCACCATAATAGTGAACTGTGAAGGAAGCCAATTAAATATTCGAGTGTAAGAACAAAACGCCTAGGTGAAGCATTAGACTAGTGACTATTCAAAGGCAATATTTCAAATTTCATACAGACAACAGCACTACAATACCCAGCTATGACACCTTTTAGCCTTGGACAGAACAGAATATATTTAAATACTTTCCAACGTAAAAAAGGTAGATCTTAATAGCTTTGCTGTAAATAACAGATTTCTCCCACAGAAAAAAACTACCGTGAGAAAGTATCTTATCACTTCTCACATAAGCTATAAAGCCAGAAAACAAAATTCCATATATTTAGGTCTATATTGATTGAAAACCAAGAGAAAGGACAGTAAAAAAATCTCCGTACTCTGGAACACAAAAACAGTAACGGACCTTTCAACAAAAGCTAATTACACTGTTAGCAATGTTCGTATCACCATCTTCTCTCAGATTTGGAGAATAAAAGCAACAAATTTACCAGGTTTTACTAGGTGTTGTGATCCCCCCACCACACACATGCATATACACGCAGACTCTCTCTCTCCCCACCCCCCACCCCCAAAATTAATTCCTAACTAACCAGAAAAATTGTGAAGAAAAAACACAGATATGAAGGGAAAAAAAAGAAGTAACCCAGATAAAATTAAAACACTAAGTAGTAAATTAAAAAAAAAAAGGTCTCAGGTCAGTCCTTCCCCCTACAATTAACAAGTTCTCGTTTAGTAATGTCATCTTTGAATAAAAAAAATTTTTTTTTTTTTAATTGCTTTACAATTTAAGCCAGGGCAGGGTCTGCTGTCAATGACACGTTGTGGGTGATCGACGCTGTAGTACCATTCTGTACTCAACAGTCTTAAGGGAAGGAACTGTCTACTCAAGTTCTAAGTCTGATGATCAGCATATAGCTCAAGAGTTGACTTATTTTTTTATTAAACTTCAGACAAAACCTCAGAAGGCAAATCTCACTCAGAAATACACTGTAAGACTTATACTGCAGTAGAAAGCTGCAGTACACAAGGTCTTTTTAAAACAAATTATACAGAAAAGTAATTACAGAATAAAGGCAGGTAATCCTTGAAGACAAAAGAAAAGGCAGGGGGGAGAAAAGGGAAAGAAAATAAAAAGTAGTCTCTTACTCGGGTAAAAATGTTAACTTCATTAATGAAAGAATTAAAAGCTAAGACATTTTGATACTGTCCTCCTCCTCTTGGGTTGCTTCCTGCTCATCCTGAGAGATACAATGCAGCAAGTATCAAAGCTCTAGAGACAAGGGACCTTATTTCTAATGGCTACTTCTAAAGCAAGGGAAGATTCTGCTAAATTTGTAATTGCCTGCAGCTGAGATGGCAAGTCTCAAGACTGCAAACTCAACTAGTATGTTGCTTTCCGCTCCTTTTTTTTACTACTTGAAGAGAAGAAAATAAAATAGAAGCAGAATATTAGCAATAAGGCACAAGAAAAATCTGAAATGTTGAAGTGACTTAATCTAAAACTTCATCCCTGTATCAAGCATGTGCTTTTTCCTCAACAGCTTAAGAATCAGGAAAAACACTATGTTACTGTTAATCCTGTAAGAAACAGTAGTCATATACTTGGAGATATCTAAAAGATTCCTGGAAAACAAAAATCTTATGTCTCAAGCTTGATTTTGTACCACATCTTAATCTTCAACTTCAGTGAATAAACTAAAATCAAATCAGTCAATACAGAGGGTTTTTTTCTCTTAAAGAGCAGTACATATTACTTTAAAAAAGAAAAAAGTGTAACCTTACAGTTTTCAGGAAAAAAAGATATTTGAATAACTAGTATGGTTTTTTTCCTCTTACCATATCCTGCCACAGAGGCTCCACCGCCACCAGTCATTAAATTTTTATTTTCTTCTGCCAGTGCTTTGACATATCTTTTACTTAGATCCAATATCTGTCCACGCAATTCAGCACTGCTTTGCCGTCTTGGATACTGAAAAGTGTAACGTAGCAACATCAAACCCCAAATGATTCCAAAAACTAGTAAAAACATACTCAGTTTCTGGGACATATTTTTTCTTGAAAATGTTAGAAACATTTCTGATGAAGGCCACAGGTGTGTCTTAGTTTCAAGATAAGTAATTGAACTTGGCTTTGTCAAATTATATTTAACAAAAATAAGATTCTATGAAGTGAATCATCTTCTGGCTGGATCATCTTGAATACATCTTCTCATGTTTTAGTTGGTCTGGATTCCTGAAATTTGTAAAATATCACATGGTTATTTAAAACCGCTACAGTTGTTGAGATAACGACAAATACCAGTTGCCAAATGCAGTATTATTGCACAATCTAGCAAACAGTTGCGGATTTCTATCTGCTTAGAAGTGCAGTCACCTTTCTCTCACCTGTTGTTTACAAGGTTTCCTCTTCTTTTTTTTTTTACCAGTTTTTATTCTCTAAGAACCAAAACTTCTATGCTTCTATGAATCACTTTTAGTATTTTACATACCATAATCTGAACTGATATTAAACCCAAATGCATTTAAAACAAAATGCAGTATCTGGAAGAGACTTGTAAAACACTTATACACAACATTCTGATGAGTTATACACATCGTTCTACACATAAGCAAAAGATCTTGTGAAATGATTCACTTGATCCTTATTCCTCGCTTAGAAGCATAGGGCAAGTATAAACGGATAAAAAGTAGAACAATGTTCCTTGGTTGGTTAGTTAGTTCAAAGTTGGGCATCATCCTCTTCTGGTTTTGTACAGCATTAAGATTGTTTGTTTGTTTGTTTTTGTGTCTTGCTAATAAATAAAGAAATAAAACTAAAATGAACTGGCACATTGCACCCACTTTTAACATTTTACTGCCACTTTTTTAAAGTCTTACCACAGCAGCCAATTCTGATCCCTCAATAGATTAAGGCTTCAGGAAGAAAACAAATGGTAGGAAAGCTTCAGCAGTTAACCAGGAAATGTCCAGACAGTTTGGAGCAATATGAGCCAGACATCTTCAGGGAGCTCTGTATTGGGGGGGATTAAACAGAACAAAGTGTAGGACTAAAGAAACCTTCATTTTCACACAGAGTGGTTGAAGTTGAGCATGAACCACATGCTTTTAAAACAGAAATACATTTTTAAACCTAACCTGAAGCACTTGTTAGGCAAAAATATAGAATCCATTACCATTTTATTATAAATGCATGCATTTGAATGCCCAATAACCCATTTTAACATACTTTAAAAAAACCCTTTGTAAGAATCTCACTGAAATGTGTCCCTCTTCTTGTGATAAAGACAGCAATAGCAGATGTTCCAGATTCATCATGTATGTATGTGCACATATATTTACGTATCATTCTCTTCTTCATTCTTCCTCCTCAAATGAATTTTATCTTTTCAGTCTTTTTACATATGTATACCTCATATTTCTAATTTTTCAGCCACCTCTGAAACCTCTCCAATTATTCAATACTTTTTTGAGAGGGAGTGTCTATTATTTAACATAGTCTGGATAAAGCTACTCATTTTATGTAATAGTTACATTTTCCCTGTTCTTCCCTGTTCTTCAACAAATATTACCATACGACATGAGCGCTTTTCAGACTGAAGTTACACATTTAATAAGAGCTCCCTGACAGACTTTCTGTGCTGTTACTTAGGTCTCTGTTTTTATTAGAAAATTCAGACCGAATTTCTTACCCTGCTAAGAACTCGTCTAAACTTAATTCTGCCTCCGTAGTATCTTTCATTGCCTCTGCTGACCAGTTCGACCAGCCTTGTGCTGACACACCATGGTCTGCTGCAAACACAAGTGTTGCTGGCAGCAGGGTGCCGAGCTGTGCTTGTCGCTTACCCTCCACCTTCACTCTTCAGATAATCCTCTCAATAGGCAGGCCAACGTGACTGATTCAAGCAGCAAATTTTTGAAGTGCTCCAAAACCAACATGCATATCCAAATTATTCTGAACCCCTGAACCCAAGGCAGGGGCAGTATTAGGACTTGGACAACAACATTGCTGTAAAGAAACAAATTATTGTGTGTAAAACACCCTATAGTAAGTGCCAGTACATAAAATCTTACTTGACTGTTGGGTGTACTAATGTAAGAGGCAACCACAAGTCACTGAATGACAAATAGCTTACTTCACTTTAACTGTGGGATATGACCATGCACATGGACAGATAGCCAACACACAATATTTTGAAATCCTGCTTTAAATTCAGTGGGATGTACTTTGTTTAAAGAATGTGCTTATCCCCCAAAAAACTGTTCTTAAGACAGAAATTTGTCTTCAGTACATAAAATAAGAGAGAAAACATTAAAATCATATTCCGCAGTATCAACACGAGTATTTGGAATTGTGCAGTTAAAGATTTCCTGAAACAGATCCTCCCTAAACATGAGCTAACCAGACTTCTTTTCCCTAGCTCTTTGTCAAATCCGTGGCTCTGCACTCAGATTTTAAAGCATAGACTGCACCTACATCATTATGCATCTACATAATCCCTGAATAGTATCAAATATGATGGAAAACATTTACATATGAGGTCCAGGAGTAAAGTATTCATGTGATGGCTCATAAGACCAAACAGTATCTCTCAAGGAGAGACCACAAGTTTAAACCCCTATTCCCAAAAGTCTGCATTTTATATTATTAAATAAAAAAAAGTCTGAAAATAACAAGTAGCTCTTGCAGAACTTAATTTAAGTTCCGCTCTCCACAGATCTCTAGCCATCTCTCCTCCTGAAGCATTTAGACACCACCACTATGGAGCTTTGGAGTGGAAATAACTCTGCCATCATGCTGTAAATAAGACCCCAAGGCAGGGTAAGAGTCCTA